CAGGAATGATTAGACAGGGTGCTTGTGCCAAGTATGGTATCACCAAACCTAACCCATATTCCCAAAGATAGCTGCAGTTTTGAAGTTGTCCCTACCCCCTGGAGGTTGCTGCCTGCATATTCTACTCTTCATTAGTGCTATTTTCCTGTATGTCATTGTGAGCAAGCTGTGATTAATAAAGAATTGGGGTTCTGTGAACTGATAAAGGGCTTGTCTGTTCTCTCACTCCCTCATTTCTCTGACACATGCCCACATAAAGTTAAAATCTACTCTAATCAGAGAATCACGGAAATTGAAAATAGATAAGACCTATTAGTAGTACAGCAAGCCCATTCTCTTGCCAATAAAGACTGATCCATATCACTCTTATTTGCTAGTGCTTAAACTTACTGGTTCTTATTACATGTCTCTAAGGATGAGATATACTGTAATGTAATATAGAAGAATGATGAGAAAACTTAATCTAATAAAAGAAGCCCCCAGTAAAAAGCCATATACACGTAGTGATGAGGACTTAATATTACAGTCATGTCCTACAGCAGGCACAACATATAGGCCCAGCAAGTTGTTGCTCATTAACACATTGTTTTTTTGAACCAGAGAAAATCACTTCCAAGCTAAATTGTACTAAAATGACAACTAGAGACAGTGCTGAGTTGCAGTGTTTGGATATAGAAGTGGATTGGACCTCCCACAATATTCAGATGTATCTTTTTGGTCCAGAACCGCCACTAGAAATAATTATTTTTTAATAGAATCCAATTTAAACTCTTGAAGAAAAAGCCACTAACAAACTGCTCATTAACAGAGATGGTCCAAGGCCAGAACCATTTATCTAAACCCTCCACATTTGGAGGATTCCAGTCCCCCAGAGGTTTTGGTGCTGCAAAACCAAATTCAACAAATGCCTATACAGACACAGAGACTTAAGAAAAGAATAGATTGAATTAAATCAGGACCACCTACCAAGGGAAGCAGTTAAATACTTTGTGGAAACATTTTTTTAAGGCAATATTAGAGATGCATTCAAATAGCAAACTTTAGATCTGCATTTCAAACCCCGCCCTGAATTGCCAGGTATTGGAATTTTGCATTTAGGTTCAGCCCATTGTAAAAATAGGAGTCCATTTATATAGATTCAGATTTTTAATGTCACCTTAATTAACTGATGCTCAGATAAGGGTTTGGCTTTCAGCATTTCTCCAGGAAAGGTAATATATATCTTGCATACTAAGCTATGATGTGCCTACCATGACAGTTGACTTTTCTGCATTTTGAGCATCACTGACTGTGTCTACATGAGACATTTACTGTGGAATTGCCGAATTAGCTCCACAGTAACCATCTTGGTGTCTATATGTGCAGTACTATTAGGACAAAGTAAACTAATTTACTCCACTGCGAGACTAAAATACTCTGCAGTAATTTTAATGCACATGCAGATGGAGGTGGGGCAGGCTGAGGCACAAGGGTGCTTAAGTGCGGGGTCACCCTACTGCCCCAGACAGCCCTTCCACAGCACTTTGAGCTGAGTCAGAGCAGACCTGGGCTGGCAGGCTGACTGCCCCACAGGCCTCTTGCCAGCTGGGGCTGGCAAGAGCCCAGTTCAACATGCTGCAGACCCAGGCACACATGCAAACGCAATACCCAGAAGCAATAAACTCCGGTGCAATTTGCACCAGAGTGTATTACTGCACATTAATATCACGTGTAGATGTGCCAACTATATAGAATATATCATACCTAACTCTTATGTCTCCTCAGAAGAGAAAACTAGTGAATTGAGTCCATAAAGTAGGCGCACACATTAAAAATCTTCCTGGAAAATACCCAGAGAATCTGCTTTAAAGCCTTTGTAGCCTGATCCTTCTTTTAATTTAATTGGAGCTAGGAATGTTTGGCACCTTTGAAAAAATCAAGCCACTTCCTTGGGTGATTAATGTAGACTTATGTGTTTGCTCATATGTATCCATCAATATTTGAACATTTTAAGGGTAAACATTTAAACAGAGCGCACTGAAGTTGCCAACAGACACTTGAACAAAGCAGAGCATGCCAGTGCTATTGTAACATTAGCGGAGATGTCTGGCCACCTCAGAAAGAATTATCTCTACAACTGCAGAGCAGGGTATGCGGAGCACTCAGAAGAAGCCATCTCAAAGCCTTGTCCTCAGCTACCTCCCGGCTTGCAGCTGCATACACTGCCACTTATATGTAGCTGTATCTATATTAGTTTCTTTATCAATTAAGTCAAAAGTGGTAGAAGGACAATAGCTGAGCAACATGAAATGAACGGTTCAAGTCCATCCAAAAGATCACATGGTCCTAATAAAGCCCAGGAAGTCGGTGTTCAAGCTGAATTTTGCAACATCTCAAACTGTCATAGTGTTTGGGTCCCGGTTCAAGCCTACCACCAGCGGGGAAATTTTTTCCTCTTTAGTATCACATTTAAGGAAGAGTTGTAAATTAATGCAACAAAAGTATAACAATACTTTTACCTAATCTGACACATTTCTCACTCCTTCACCCAACAACCACAAGCCACTGTAAAAGTGCCAAGCAAAATGAGCTAAGAACAATTGCATGGTAGGTCCAGACAGTCAACCACATCTACATATTTTCGCTAAGATTTTAAAGAGAGTGACCAATGGACTCAGTTCTCACTGTTCTCAGTGATGGCAGATAACGGAACAAGGAGCAAGGGTCTCAACTTGCAGCAAAGGAAGCTTAGGTTAGGTATTAAGAAAAACTTTCTCACTAGGAGGATAGTAAAACACTGGAACAGGTTACCCAGAAGTTGTAGGGTCTCCATCCTTAGAGATTTTTAAGACACAGCTAAACAAAACCTTGGCTGGGATAATCTAGTTGGGGATGGTCCTACTTTGAGCAGGGGGTTGGACTAGGTGACCTCCTGAGATTCCTTCCACCCCTCATCTTCTATGATTCCATGACTCATCACCTGGACACCTAAACAGGAGGAGGAAACAGGTTTAATCACTGCGTCTGAAGTCAGTGCATAGACAGTGACCACGAAGTATCTTCTCTCTCCTCTCCTAAAAAATAAGTGCCTAGGAGAGAGGAAATGACTCAGAGAATCCAACCTAAAAGCTACCTTTGGCCACATCCAGATGAGCAGGGGTATGAAGTTTGTGGGGCCACAACCTGCACATGGTAAACATTAACATGTACACTGGGATTTCCCAGTAACAAAAAAAAAATGCTAAAGCAAAAGGCAGCACAACACATGCAAAATAAATGTGTGCTGCCACAAACAGAGGGTAGGATGCCGACCAGGCCTATGTGCTGCCCCTGCTCACTCCAGCATGCAACCAGGCTACCAAGTAAGAACCAGGAGGAGCTGGACAAGGGCAGTTTTCCCATTGCAGGACAATTTGGGGGAGGGTCTCCTTCCATTTTAAAACACATCTCTCATAGAAAAGGTATTTCAGCAATTACAATGGGATGGATATTTTACCTAGTAGCAACATATTTTGCTTTAGAGGTTAAGTAATGTTGAAAATCCTCTTTACATGTTTGGCCTGCTGCCTCAGAAATGCTGGCGCCATGGCTCCATGCAGTGGTCAGTTTTAATTACATCTACCTCAAGCAGAGATAAATCTGTTCTTCAAAGGAGGTTCATTTAATCTACACTCTGGTTATACTGTTATGTATGTAATGCAGTCAATAGCTGTAGAGTCCAAAAAGTCAGACCAGCCACTGTAGCTTATGGCTGTTTCACTATAGTGCATTGCGAGCAGTATGAAATCATCTACATCAGTAAAATTGAAAACAGTCAGTATTCTGACTACAGAACAGGAAGGGCTAGAATTATTTGCAGTTCTTGATAATTAAAAGAACAGCTAGACTTACGATACCTTTAGCGTTATTAAGTCATAGGAGGTAAGTGATAAGATACAGCAGGCAGCTCAGAAGAAAGGCTAAGGAAAAGATATAAGCAACTGCAGAAAGATAAGGAAGAGTAAGAAAGGCTAGATTGAAAGCTCAGTAACAGATTATGTGGGCTACTCAAACCAAGAAATTACTTTTACACTTAAAATATAGGCTTAGCATCCCACCAAGCTTTCTGGGCTATCTGTCCATCCTTTCTCTCTCTTCCCTTTCTCTCTGCATTTGCTTATTTATTACGTTTTCCTTAGTGTCTTCTCCAAGTTGTCTACTGTGTATTAAAACTTATCCTTGAAGCCCCTCATTGTACAGCCACATAGCCAAGAAAGGTTTGGGTTGAGAGAGAACCAAAACACATTGCAGGTGAACATAAAAGCCAAGTGTACAATTTACCTGGTAAGGGTAAAAACTATAAAAGCCACATCCAGTATTAACATTTACCCCCTTTTGTATACCACTGACAGTAAGAAAAATCATCTAAAATATATGTCTCCTTATCCACAACAAATAGCTCTGGGCACACAGCCTGAATGGAGACAGAAGAGACCAGAAAACAGCTTTAAAGCGAAGAGACAAAAACAAAAGGGGGTGATTTGTTACCTAAGGAAACAGCCAGGCCACAGCTTTCCAGATAGATATGTTCTTTACTACATTAGAGGGACATGCACTTATATTTTTAAGCAATGTTCAGAATTCAAATATTATATTAGTAAAACTTCATTTACAAATATAAACCATAACCTATAAAAATGTGAAACGTGTAAGTAATTTGTTTACATAATACTTTTAAAAGTATGTGCTGTCTAAAGTATCATAAGAACACTCATGACCAGCAGGGGGCAATCTATGATTATTAAACTTGCAATTTATAAAGCTAACTTTTCATCTAACAAACTGTCAGTCTGGAAATAGAACACATTAAATCTTGTTACTTGTCCTAAGATCTGGATTTGAGTTCACATAACTCTTAACACATGTTATTCTTTGAGCAGGCAAAGATCACTATTTTAACTAGATCCTCTAATTAAATGCATGGGTACAAAGAGGTGGTAGATTT